TCCATAATTATTCTTTCGATACCCGTCATCAATACTCGATCCCGCCCGTGGAGGCAAAGAAGTTGCCGACCCTAACCTAAATATGTGATGAAAATGAATTTATAATTTTTTTTTATTCTTGAGAATTCACAACAAAAATATTAAATACCATTTATTTATTAGGTTGTTTATTTAGAGTAATATTTTTATATTTTTACAATATCCTAAAAAATAATGCAATGCAATATTTATCATTTACCAATTTATAAAGAAATAAATAAGAAAACAATTTTTTATTCAAAATTTTACAAACATTTACTAAATTATTGAAACATATGCTCCACCTATAGGGGAATCATTTTATAAAGTTCGAATCAATTGACAATTAGTCGATATTTTGCCAACTATTCCAATTGTCAAAAACCATTTGTTTGTTGTCAATTTTCTATAAAAAAGAAAATGTATCAATTCATTTTTATGTTTAGGTTTTATTAAAATTCTAATTATCGCCTTTTAAAAGAATTAACACTGCTGTGGAGTGAAGGTAGTTAAAATGATAGCGGTGTCCATTTGATAATCTTTTTTTTTCCTTTCTTTTTTTTTTTTGCAGGCACAAAAGCTCAAGTTTGCCAGAGTTTCTGTGTTTTAAATTCATTAGTTATATTATTAAATCAATAAGTTTCAGTTTATCATTTACTGGGCTAAGCATTTTTAGCTCAAGCTTCAGCGATCATGTGGTCATTTTTTACAATTATTTACATGTGGACTATTGTCCTCAATTGTGTAGTACCTATGGCGCGTGACCGCGTGTTAGAACGTTCGCTTTTTAACCATGAGGTTTGAGTCCAAATCTCACCATGGTTGATTAAACAAGGTGACTTCTGGATTTTATCGCCCTGAAGGTGGAATCGATCCCAGCATGTAACACCTTTGGAAAGTACCTGAAAAAAAAACCCACAGGTTGATTCAAGCCTTGTGAGTGAAATTGGGTAGACGCAACTATCTGGGCGTTGTTGAAGGTTACGCTAGAACGATATCACAAGTCAGCGTGACCGAGCGTGTTAGCCTTATTCAGACTGTTGATAACGCCAGATAATGCACAATCTCCGCTCAGCATATTTGCAGTATAACCACAGGTGGACTATGTGGCTGATGAACAAACACAAAGCAGGCGTCTGCAACAGGGATTGGCTTGCAGCCCTAGTAGACATACTCAGATACGAGCAGACAGCCACCACATTATCCTCATCTCTGTATCAGTAGTGTCGTTTGGCCTTTATCAGGTGTTTGTCAATCTAGGCAACCTAACCTGACGTGTTCCTTGTCACGTTTGAATGTATTCACCAATGTTGTAAAAGTTATTTCCCTTGCATAATCTAGTTTGGCATGAGCTCACAAGTATAGAGTACATAGTTTGGAATGGACTCACATTAATAGAAGGTTGTTAGCCGTTACCCTACTCCAATGTACTCCTAAAGTTCTTTAAATAGTCTAGTTTGGCACAAGTATAAAACACATAGCAAGGAGTAGACTAACCAGTAACCATTTGAGGGAGAAGCTTGTTAACCATTACCTTACTTCAATGTGTTGTAAAAGTTGTTTATTATGCGCAGTACAGTTTAACATAAGGCCAGAATTCTAGAGAATCCTGTTAACCCTTACACTACAATGAAAATCAGGAAATAGTATCGATTCCATGAATTGTAAACAGGGCTGAATTATTGAACTTATGCGCCCCCACCCCAGCGAAAGCCACCCTCTAAACTCACCCGCCTTCAATATCTTTTACTTGTGATATATTTTAGCGCCATTTACATAGCTTGAAGTAAACGTATCATAAATTCTTTAAATAAACTAGAATAGCTATATTTCGTTTGTCAATAAAAATATTCTTTAAGAAATACTATTTTAGTATTTATGGCAAACCAAATTATCACGTATTTCAAAACAACCATAGTATTAATTTCTTTTATAACAGGTGTAACGACAAAAGTACGCAGGTTTAGGCTTTATTCAACTGAGAATACAAGGTCCTTTTATAATACAAAAATACAAGTGGCCTTTTATAGCCCCAGTAAACAGAAATAGTTCTCTCAACGATGAGAATAAGAAAACAAGTGGAGACCACTCTTGATTATTCATAATAGCTGGTATAAAAACAAAATAATTATGGGTTTATGAAATTATTTAGAAGTTATAAAATCTAGACAATTAAAAATCATTCCTGTAGAAAAGCTCGAGGGGCCCTAGACTGTAGCCTAAATTTACGATATGCCCTGAGTTGTCAAAATAAGGAATTTGTAGTGCCGTGGCGTCCACGTTATGAAAGCGCATGTCATTCAAAAAATTATCCTATATTTGCAGAAATACTGATAGTTGATTTCACGGCCTTATTTTCGTACGATACAAAAGGTTCAATTTAGTAAAAATTACAATTACATTGTAAATAAAACTTTGAGAAAAATAGATAGCGAACTGTGCACAAAAATGGCGACTTATTTAGCCGATTTTTATTTTCCTTTCTTCAACATTAAAACATTGGATATTAAAATTTGTTGAAACTAAAAAAAAAAAAAAAAATTAACGTACTTTAAATTTTCCGCGGGAAGAAACACGAATTTTATCCAAATAAAAAAGTTCCCAGTTGTCATTGACAGAAAGACAAAGAAACAAATAATGTATTTGTTTTAAAAACTACTTTGGTTGCTTTTGATAGTACCTATTCCTACGTTTGAATGACATAAACACTTTATATTGATATCTTATTTAGCAGCCAACGAGGAAAATATTGATGTTGTGTAAATTAGCTACCCGAAACAACTCAAGTGGGTACATCCAAAAATTGCCCGGTACTATTGAACTTTAACGCAGGCATCAGGACATAACCAAATTTGAAATTGGAAAGGTGCTATCAGGAAAGGATAAAAACCCCTTCACATTCAAAATTGCCTTCCTCAAAGGAAATCTTATCAGAAATAAAAACTTACTTTTTAAATGTATCTAATTTTTCATGTAATTAACGAAATAAACAATTAGATAGTAAATTGGCGTTTTAAAAATATGGAAACCGAAAAAGGAAGAAACAATTTTTTTTTTTTTTGTTGCTTTCAGGTGGAATTTTCAAAGGCGTTTTAATGTAAAGTCTTCTTGTATCTTTTTGGCTGGTTTCCCGCTCAATGAACTTATCCTGTGCAGTTTTTTTTCTTTTCGAATCGGCGAACGTTGTCAAAAGTTTTTAAAAAAAAAAAAAACTCGAAAATTTTCTGGAATCCTCAATTGACGAAAATTTCCTTGACATTTTATTTATATTTGAAAATTAGGGTGAGCCATGATTTCCCAGTCCTGAAGGGATAAAGGCGGCAGTTTATTTCGGCATTTATTACCCCACAACACTGATGGTTAGGGTTTCCTTATATTTTTTGGTAGGAACAAATGAAACTCCCACCACTATTAATTTATCTTTTTACTTGGATTATGAAGCTAATTAATGAAATAAAGATACCATAGACCAAACACGTGAGCAACGAAGAGGTTTTAAAGAGGTTGCAAACGGGCAGGAAGTTTATACTTAACATCAGGAAGAGGCAGCCGAAATTTCTGGGACACGTAATGAGAAAGGACGGCTTGGAGAATCTGATAGTCACAGGGCGAATAGAGGGAAAGTAACACGTAACATAAGTAGCGGGCTTTAAGCAAGGGGATGACAAAACAGGGTTTGGGGGAGAGTAGCAAAAGAACAAAAAAAAAAAACATTGAGAGCTACAAGGGATAGGGAGAAGTGGAGAGCTATGATCGCCTACGTCCTTAAGGGACACGCTACATAAAAATTGTTAAATCTTAATCCCTAAGAGACTTTGCTGGTAGCGAGACTGATCAGAACGGTTTACGGGGTACTGGATAATAATGTTTTTTTAGACATTGACTTAATTAAATTCGCTTATCACTTTTTGTTACTGTTAAGAAGGGTTAAGCCGTGTTCCAGACTAAACTAAGCGTAAAGTGCCTCCTGTAGAGTGATAGCTGGAAGACTATGTTGGATTTTTGATCGGCTTTGTTAAGTTCGATCTCATCCGTCGGCATCTCGATTACCAGCCAGGCCAGGAAAAAAAATCTCTATGCTGTTAATAATCTCAATACGCGATAAAAATTGGAACGAATGATTAACTAGGACTAGGATAGCTAAAAACAAGACCAGTCTCTCTCCATCTCCCCCTCGGCCTTGTATTTTTATGAAAAATAAATAAATCATACCTGTTGCTCGTCTTCTCCCTCAGGACACGGATAGAAAGAATACCTCACGATCTCAGGGTGCTCACTGAAGATAACTTTATCCCGAACTTGGAGATGAGTGACAAATAACCGGAGAGAATTATGAAGGCAAAATATCGATCATTAATAAAAAAAAAAAAAAAAAAAAAATTAAGCCAGTGACTTCTCTTTTTATATCAGAAAACTGAGGTAGCGATTAGGAATTGTTTTAGAAAGCTGTCGTAAAAACATTTGCGTTGAAAAATCAAATTAAGATTCGGGAGGGAAAGTATTGTTCTTGAGGGTAATAATAAAAAGTCTCTGGCTTTAATTTTTCTGCATTTCATTTCAAACAAACCGTTAACAAAGAAGCCAATTTTATAAGGCAAAGAGAAACAAGCATTTTTGTTTGAACAATAAATTGAGGCAGGGCATTCAAGTAACGGTTTGTTCAGAAGTTAGTAAGGTAAAATAAACACCATTAATTGAACTTGGAAAAAGATAAGAAACAAGATATAAGTTAAAAATTCATCTTTATATAATTGAAATTGAAAGGATGATGATATTTTTTGTATATTGATTGACAGATCTTTTGATCTAGAGTAGGATGATCATGATAAAAAATGCGTTTTTTTTAGTTCTTTTTTTTGATGATTTTCAATGAAACAGTTCAAATGTCGATTGAAATGTATTTGATGAAAGTCAGTCCTAGGAATGAACCCTGTACAAATATTTACAAGTCTTTAAATAAAATAAATTAGTCCATTTTTTTTTTACTTCTTTGATTTTTTGGCGGCTTTCGATTTTGGTTTAGCGGTTTTTTTAGCAGCGGTCTTCTTTGCTTTCTTTGGAGATTTGGCCTTCTTAGCGGCGGGTTTTGCTACTTTGGGCTTTTTGGCTTTCTTAGCAGCGACCTTCTTTGGTTTGGCAGTCTTCTTCGGACTCTTGGGCTTTTTAGCAGCGGCTTTCTTGGCGGGCTTCTTGCTCTTGGCCTTTGGTTTCTTTTCAGTTTTCTTTTCTCCGACTTTGAAAGAACCTGAAGCACCGGTTCCTTTACATTGTTTAAGTTGGCCACTGGTGACTCCTCTCTTGAGTGCGAGTTTCAATTGGGCGCTGGATACACCGTCAGCTGGGACTTTGAAGTGGGTTGTCAGGTACTTTTGAATGGCCTGACGAGAAGAACCACCTCTTTCTTTCAAATCTGTGATGGCATCTTTAATCATCTGACCATAAGGTGGATGAGAAGAAGCTTTCTTGGGTTTGCTTGCCTTTTTGGTCTTGGCGGGAGCCGGGGCGGCGGCAGCAGCAGTTTCGGTATCAGCCATATCGTCGTAATAAAGTTTGGTAAATATCAGCAACGTGTAGAGAAGCGATCAGTGTGCCGTTCACGTCAGCAATGCTGGTGGGTGCCTGCCACTTCTTTATTTATAGACAAAGCGCGGACGTAGTTGTAGGCACACAACACAAACGACGCTGAGACAACAAAATGGCAGCTGTTCAACGACAGATGTGTTTCTTCGTGACATGTTCCCCCGTTGATTAAGGTGATGTCCATGAGAGAAACACATTCTTCCACCGTTCCATATCAATCCCAAGACATTAATCTACAATCCTCAAAAGAAATTATTCTTCAACTACTTTCTCTCGTTTGTTATTTCAAACAATATGACGTGTTGTCGATTCATCGAAATCAGGGTAGGCTTCATTCAAAGTTGAAAATTACGAAATCGATTTCATGCATTCGTATTTTGTCGTTATGAATTGAAAAATAATCATATGGCAAACCATCTGGAGAAAAATCATCATCTGACATCTTCATATATGACAGTTATGATGGCTCTGATTACCATAACAAACACAATTTCTTTTTCAGCTCCGCCATTTTTCTCGCTTCCAGTTTTAACCAAAAGAAAATATATTCTTAAAAATTCTTTTAAAAATTCCTTAAACTGTTTCTTGCTCATGTAACTATTTGTAGATCATTAATTTTTTTATAAGATAAAGTTAATAAACAAATTTTAGATTGGAGTTGTATTTTAAAAACTCTTTTAATTCAAATCTATTATTGCCACTGTGTTGGCCCAGTTCGGAGTTTGCATCTCTACACCAAGATACAACGAACCAGATTCATTTGTCCGAATTGAATGCATTTTTGAATTAGTTTTATTTAGAAAAACACTTTTTACCTGTTATTAATTTAATTGAGGAAATTTAATTAATTCTAAGCTTTTAAAATCCACCAAACTATGTCTTATTTATTCTTATTGTACCACAGAGAAAAACAATATGTGAGTGAAATGAAAAGGCCTTGTCGGTTTCATTAAATCAACAACGATTATTTTCTGTAATATTACCAAATTTATTTTACCTTTTTATTATCAAGTTTCTTGTTATATTTATTTATTATTAATGATCCTTAAAAAAGATTCAATTTCTATCTTTTAAACATCTGCATCTTGAAACGTAGAAAAATACGCCTTTTTATTTTAAACATGAAAACAATTTAGAAACGAACGGAAAGTAATCATTTGTGAAAATACCGCGACAAATAACGAGCAATTTTATTTAATTCTTTTAAAAAAAAGAAAAGAATATTCACAAATTAAAAACAAATAATTTATAAGAAAAGAAAAATACAGTTTTTTATAACTTTTGAAACTGTTGATATGTCATTTTTAATTCGTGAAGCAATCTATGTTTAAAATCTTCTTATTGGATTGAATTCTGTTCAGTTATTCAACAATCAACATTATTTATTTACGATTGTCCCTTTTTAGTTTTTATTGACGTGTATTTTCCGGATTGCTTTTGGTTTGGAAAAGTGGAAAAATATTTTAAAATAATTTATTTGAAAAGAAAATCATAATGGTACAGGTAATTAAACATAACGTATATTTAGTTTATTAGATAAATTTCGTAATCTTTATTGCATCGTTTACTGGAGAGGCGTCAAAATTGGTTCGCGCCTAAATGAACATTTTTTGGCACTTTGTGGCATTCTTTTCAATTTTTTTATATCGATTATTCATACATTTTTATAAATTTCTTTTAATCTCTGTCAGAAATTAAATAAGAATTTAAAATTTTAAATGTGAAAAAATATCTTCATGGCAGAATAAGATTTACCGCCTTTATATGATTTTTTTTTTTTAAATAATTATGCATGATTTATTCAGCGTGGTCTGGCACAAAGCTAAAGTACTCAAGCATTGTGGGGGTCGAACTCTTAATTCGCAAATTTGGACTGAGAGACGAACTTGGTATCGCGCTATGGTAGGCCCCTTACAATTATTTACATGTAAAACTGTAACAGAAAAACACAACAGTGAGCATGAACTTTACTATCTATCTATCTATCTGTCTGTGTCAATATATACATTCACTCTCTGAAACTATATATATGCATATTTGCCCGTGAGTGTGTGAGTCAGTTTATCTATCTATCTATCTATCTATCTATCTATCTATCTATCTATCTATCTATCTATCTATCTAAATCTGTTAATCTATCTCGACCTCTTCATATCTCTATCTATTCTAGAATTTTCTTCTTTTTTTTTTTTGCATAAGGTTCCTTTTCGGATCACAAAAAATCAACTGAAGTAATATTGCATTGTCAATTTATTCAAATATAGCAACAATCAAAGACTGAGGAGATTTGATAGATTTTCAAATAAAAAGCAGCTATAAAAATGAAATATTCTTTTTAACCTATTTTCTCATTTAAATTTATTCCAAATATCATAAAAATATTTTGTTTATAGCGCAAAGAATTTGAAAATTATTTAATTACTAGCCGAGAAGCCTTCGGGCGGACTTTACGGTAGCTACTCCGGAGGGCTTTTGGGCCTTCGGCCTTTTATCTTTAGCGCCCTACGTACAAATTTAGATAATGAAATTATTTTATTCGGCATGATCTTTCTTCGTATACGCAACCTATCTCCGTAGCTTGTTTATTTTGCGCGCAATTTTTATTTTCTTTTAAATTTTAAAATTACTATTCTTTATGATCCCTTCATATAAAGTCACTCTTAAAAGACAGTAGGGGACTCGAACTATGTAATATTTCGAATACATTATTACAGTAAACGTGATAGAAATAGAAGAAAAAAAAAACATATGAGCAACGTACCGTGCCCCGCTTAAATTTTAATTACGGTTTAATTTTTAGACGATATCAATAGCAATGAAAATCTAAATTTAACCTTTAATAAAGAATTGCTTTTTTAAAACCTTTTATTCTGTTCGATATTTAAATTTAACTTTAAAATGAGTTATTTGTTTAATTTTTTATCGTGTGTTACTTCAGGTTCGTCAAGAATCAAGATCGAAAAACAGGCGGACGGATGGACACACGTATATTGCGCTTGATTTATACATTCAGTTTGACTATTATTTAAATTAAAAAGACTTTTTCAACATTGGATTTTTTTTTTCTTTTAATTGAATTGGCAAAATAAAAAAAATAATAAATAAAAAATGTTTTGTATACATCAAGTTGAAAGAAAATTACAAATTTAGCCCCACACACGATCCAAAATTATTACTCACACTTACTTTGACATTTTAATTATTAACGTTAAGTTAAGTAATGATGCGTGTGTTCTATGCTGATGTGTAACCAATATAATGGAATTAACCAGAGATTACGGTTCCTAAGCGATCATTCAAAAATAAAATCAGTTTCCTATTGATTCCGATCATTAGATAAGAAGAATGTTTCTTATTCTTAAAATGGGACCTCTGAACCTCCTCTCCTCTCGTCTATTACTAGTCTAACCCAACTTAGACTGCTACTACCAAAAAAAAAAAAAAAAGATGAATTGTTTTATTGTTTTTTTTTTAATGGTAAAGAAGACAGACATGCATTTAACGACTACGCACAAAACATAAACAATGCGCGTGCGAACTGATCATTTTTGGCTATGACTACCAATCTCTCTCTCTCTCTCTCTCTCTTGTTCTCTTTATCTATCTATCTATCTATCTATCTATCTATCTATCTATCTATCTATCTATCTATCTATCTATCTATCTATCTATTATTGAGTGTCATCGGTAGCGTTTTTCCCCGGGTGGTTCTCTTAATTTCTTAAATGATAGCAACATATTAGCCCTCACCCCACCTCTTTACCAACCACGCAATTCAAACAGAAAGCAAACACGTCCCGACTGTTCATTCCGCCATCATCAGGCAGGTTGGCATCAAGAAAGAGACACAATGTGCCATAAAAAAGTGATTACTTAAAATTAGATGTACAGAACGAATTCTTGCATTTAAAAACAAGTCAAAGAATTGAGTAAAAAAGACATGTAAACGGTTCGAAACAGACACAAATATAATTTATTTATTCATTTATTTTAGATCGTATTTAAATTTTTTATAAACATTATGAAAAAAATTGTTTATTCTATCAACATTAATAAATTAATTATAAATCTTTATTATTTTTTTTTAATGTTTGATAATGAAATTTACTTTATATTTTGTTTATGTGCCATGCATGATACACGCTTACTGACGAGGCAGATTTTTTTCCCCGCAGTAGGTAGCCATCCAAGGCTACAGAACCCGGTCTGTCCCGCTATTTACCAATAGCTGGGTGGGTGGGAGAAGAAGAGGATTCATACCTTTCCCATGGATATTAGCACGTAAGTGAATGTAATGGATTCGACTGGAATTCAATTTGTTCTCAGTCAAAACACTCCGCAAATATATAGTGATCATAATTTATATTTCAATTTGTTGAAAGTAGATTCTTATCTTTATTCGTGTTGAAGGTTTTAAAACTAAAATCTCTTGTTTGTTGGAGATCTTTTTTTTTTTATATAATTTTCGGTTTTTCTCTACGTCCAACTTTGTTTACATTAATTTTTTGCGTAAGAAAGTAATGTCTTGGGTAGAAAATAAGTAATGTCTGGGGGAAAAATAAGTAATATCTGGGGGAAATATGTAATGTCCGGGGTAGAAAATAAGTAATGTTACGGGGGAAAAATATAAGTAATGTCTGGGAGAAATAGATAAGTAATGTGTGGGGTAGAAAATAATTAATATCTGGGGAAAATAAATAAGTAATGTCTGGGGAAAAATAAGTTATGTCTGGAGTGAAAATGAGTAATGCCTGGGGGAAAATATGTAATGTCCGGGGTAGAAAATAAGTAATGTTTCGTGGAAAAAATGTAAGTAATATCTGGGAGAAATAAATAAGTAATATCTGGTGGGGAAATATAAGTAATGTCTGGGCGGGGATGAGTAAAGCCTGGGGGAAATAAGTAATGTCTGGGGGGAAAAATAAGTAATACCTGGTGGGGAAAAATAAGTACTGTCTGGGGGGGGAATGAGTAATGCCTGGGGAAATAAGTAATGTCTGGGGGAAAAATAAGTAATACCTGGTGGGGAAAAATAAGTACTGTCTGGGGGGGGTAATGCCTGGGGAAAAAATAAGTAATGTCTGGGGGAAAAATAAGTAATACCTGGTGAGGAAAAAAATAAGTACTGTCTGGGGGGAATGAGTAATGCCTGGGGAAATAAGTAATGTCTGGGGAAAAATAAGTAATACCTGGTGGGGAAAAATAAGTACTATCTGGGGAAAAATAAGTAATATCTGGGGGGGAAATAAGTAATGCCTGGGGAAATAAGTAATGCCTGGGGGGATGAAATATGTAATGTCTGGGGTGGGGAATGAGTAATGTCTGGGGAAAAATAAGTAATGTCTGGGGGGAAAATATGTAATGTCTGGGGAGGAAATATATAATGTCCGGGGTAGAAAATAAGTAATGTCTGGAAAAATGCCTATAAGTAATGTCTGGGAAAAAAAAAATAAAAATATGTAATGTCTGGGGAGGAAATATATAATGTCCGGGGTAGAAAATAAGTAATGTTTCGGGAAAAAAATATAAGTAATATCTGGGAAAAATAAATAAGTAATATCTGGGGAAAATATGTAAGTAATGTCTGGGGTAGAAAATAAGTAATGTCCGGGGCAAAAATAATTGTTATATTTAGATATGTCTAAAGAAAACCGATACCTAAGATTTAAAGTGAATTTAAAAAAATAAAAATATCACCCAAACCGATAGATGACAGTTTTTGAGAGTAAAAACCTGGACATTGTTTGAAAACTGACAGAATGTGGAAAATGAAAGTAATAGATTTAGCTATCATTACCGGAGCACTTGGCAAAGGCCCGAACACCTTTGCGAAAAAGATGAGAAAATCCGAAGAAAAATTGAAATCAAAGCCATATCACTAAAATATATGAAACATTTAGGAGGGATAGGCACCGCCAGGTCTAGTTTGACCAAAAGACGCTACGCATGAATAAATACCTGCCGAGACATTTGAAGGGAGTCGTAATGAGATTTGTTGTCACTTGATCTCCAACAATAACCAGTAGCTATTATTACTCAAAAGATAGGTAAATGAGTAGAAAAAGGAGTCAACCACAGTCGGGATCATCGAGTCAATGCGAACGATCCTTTCCTTATCTGTAGTATGTGCTTCGCCAGGGCCACATATATCTCTATCTATAAAAGGCAGGATGTGTGTGTGTGTGTGTGTGTGTGTGTGTGTGTGACGAATGCACGGCCGCAATTTTCGGCGGATTTGCACCAAAATTTACATGCACATGCTCCAAGTTAGCGGGAAGGCCAAAACCGACTTTGCATTTTCCAACTCCCATCGATAGTGGAAATAATCGATTTTTTCATGCTTCTACGGCAGTTTTCATGTAGTTTGCGGCCATTTTGTACTGGCCAGAGTGAGAGCCTATAGCTGGCTGCCACGAATAGGCAGGAAGATTCTATTGGCCAGCGTGAAAGCCAACAGCTGACTGACACGAATGTTAACTAGCATGCAAAAAAAAAAAAAATCGATAGCTGCATTTGTCACAAGTGGGAAAAATTTAAATCTGCATGGCACTTTACTCCAATTGGCTCATTCGTTTGCTTAAACTCAACGTTGATTCTGATTCTGCAGAATTGGGTTGGGTGTGAAAAAGTATTTGTTGTTAACATTCTTTTTTCATTCGGTTTTTCCAGTTACGAGTCCTTTTTTTAAAGCTGATCGTTTTGTGTTCATTTTGTTTAGTTCTTTTTTCGTTTTTTTTTAATGTTTAGTATAGACTATAGAGCTTAGAAAAAATTCGCAGTGTGAGATAGACAAGAAGTAAGGTATGTAGCAACATCAGCATGGCAAAGGGCACTCCTTTAAAGGCAAGGAAGGGCAAAAATATTTTAAGTCAAAGTGATAGCGATTGCTGTATGAGTCGTACGATTTTTGAATCAAGCACGGGCAACGCCGAGCCATGCTGCTAGTATATATATATAATACGCTACATTTTGTTTCTTTTTTTTTTGTGTAACAATTGAAGGGTAGTGTACAAAATAATGATGAACCACCCTCCCAAATTCAAGAACTTTAAAAATTATGACAGACAGATATGAGTTACGGGCAACATTAGTCGTGTTGAATATTTGTTTCACAAATTTAATTTAACTGTATTTTATTTAAATTAATTTTGAAAAGATAAGGCTCGCTATAGTTTTACTTTAATAAAACTTAATTTAAAATTATTTACTTTTTTTTCATATTAGTAACAAACCAAAAAAAAACAAAAAAAAACAATGACATTTATTTTTAAAGGATTGAATAAAAATTATTTTCCATGAATGGCCGAAAAATATCAATAAATTATCAATAGATCCAATTAATGTCCTGTTTTTGCTTCAATAAAACAAAACTTGATTTAAAATTATTGTTTACTTTTAGTTTTCCTAAATTCGTGAATCGGTTGCCAAGAATGATATGTTTTTTTGTTTTTCAGCGATGTGTCGGGAGATTTACTAAGGAAATTTGGAAATATAAAAATCTGAGACTCGAAAACAAAAAAAAAATTCTCAGTAAAATTTTTAGTCATACAAATTTCTTTTGGTGCATGTTGTCTTAATAAAATAACCTATGCATTATAAAAGTCATTAACTAATTGAATAAATATTGAAATATTTTTCTTCGAAAGGTGTATGTGGCTCACAGGTTGGGAAACTCTGAAATTAACATGTAATTGGGTGGGTGGGGGTTCTATCATAGTTTCGGGATGGGGACGGAGATCCTTGCGTCGGTCCGGCCTGGACTAATTCAAAATATTTTGTTTGAAATGTGTTTTTGTAAAGTAAAAAAGAATAGATATTAAAGTTTCATTTTTAGAATCTGCAATAATGAATGAATAATAAAAAGTTAAATTATACACACACACACAAAAAAAAAAAATTACGGAAGAGAATAGAAAATTTAAAAATACATCGTAGGACGAAAAATAAGCAGACTCTGAAATTAGAGATTGAATCTACGGACTGTCAAGAATTACTCAGACCGTCTAAAGTTTACACAAATTGTTTTGCAGTAAAAAACTTAATTTTGGTTGTAAATAGTAAATATATAACTTTTTATGAGAATAATATACAGATATCTTTCCTTCAGTAAGTGTCTATAAATTGCATATCGTGAACAACGAACTATTTTAAATTAAAAATTGTACTTGGATTAAACGAAAATTACTTATTACTTATACATTCCTTCTTGCTGTTTATTTTGACGGCACGGGTACACTAGTAGAATAATAATTTGAAAATTTCAAATTATTATTCTACTGCATCTACTCCTCCCTACCTATAAAATCAAGAGCCCTGCGCAAGAGCTAGCTTAAACTAAAAAGGCTCTTAAGTTTTAGGTGGGTACTTCCACGGATTCGCGATATCTCAGATTCAAAATTAAGTACCTCCACTTTTTCGCTAAAAAAGGAGCTTAGAATGATGAAAAAAAGTGACGAAAACAAAATTTTATTGACAACATATAGGTATCGCGATTTTAGTGGTGGTAACTATTTAAAATGAATTTTTAAAAATGAAAAATCTTTTTGAAGTTATTTTTTTATTTTACTTTTAATTTCAAGTTAATATTAATAATTTATCTGTTATATTAAGCTTAAAGTAAATAATATTTTTTTAAAATCAGATTAATTAAACTTTAATTCAGCTAATATTTCACAAATAAAGTTTCAGAAAAATATATTTTAGTTTTGGAAGATTTTAAAAAAACGAGATCAAATTAAAATTAAATTTTGTTTACAAATCTGTCAAAAATGACCGAAACGATTTCTGAAAACGAGAAAAATGTTGATAATCAATATAATTTCCATTTGATATACACCAGAGCATTTTGCTTAATGGAAAAATAGTAAATTTAATTCTTTAGCTTTCAATTAAAACTAAAAAGAAAGCTTCAAAAATGCGTTTTCATTTTTAAAAATTCATTTTTTAAACCTTAGGTATTGAAAATAGTAAAGAAGTGGAGGTACCTTTTTCTGCGATAACAGATGTAAAATATTAAATTTACTGAAGTTAATTATGACATTTAAACTTCTATGATAAAATTCTTAATAAATAACATTTTCTTTAATATAGCAGTGAATATAAATTTTAAATCAAAGTTTGTTTTTTGTTTTTGTTTTTTTCTGTTTTTTTTTTTTAATTAAATTTTTGGAACTCTTTTGAAATTATAAACTTTAAATCAAAATTTGTTTTTAGGTTGCCTCGCAACAACTCCAACCCGCAGAATGAAAAATTACCAAAAATCAGGAAGTTATTCACATATCTTAAGTGCGGGTTATATTCCAGGTACTTACAAAGAATTGTTATAGAATTAATAAAAAAAAAAAAAAAAAATAATAATCTGTTTTTGGCTTGTTTATCGGGTTGAGCACAAACGCTGACCCAACACTAAGAAAGCACCGAATCGCCCACATTTTGGGCCATCGCAAAGGTCAACGCCTAACTGGAGTTCAATGGAAGGACGACGCTCTGGGAGAATTTAGTGTGAATTTTAGTCTTTTTATTGTGGGTGAATTACTAGAAAAGATCAAGACTATTTTTACAATGAATTAATAAAAACAATGCAAAATAAAATAAAATAAATGAAATTCACATTTATTTCAGTGTCTTTAAGTTTAAATAATAAACTTAAGTTTGTTTCTTTGTTTAACGGCATATCAACATCCTTATGGGTCATTTAATGCTGAAATTTAATTTTCTTGGGAGCTTTGAATTGATTTGTTTTATTTTTAACGGCATATCAACATCCTTATGGGTCATTTAATGCTGAAATTTAATTTTCTTGGGTGCTTTGAATTGATTTGTTTTATTTTTATTTTAACGGCATATCAACATCCTTATGGGTCATTTTATGCCGAAATTTAATTTTCATGTGGGCATTAGTAATTTCTTTGACAAAAATAATTTTTTGTTTTTAAAAATGCATTGCAAGTCCTTCTTTTTTTCTTTTTTTTTTACAAAAATGTAATGCTTTCAATTTTTTACTACAAAAATATATTGCTGAAATTTTTATAGTTTCAAAGTGCTTTTTACCTCAGTTTGGGCGGTCACTATTTGCCTATACTTGGGACCCTAACAGGTGCTGACACACCGGGTCAAGGTGGACCTGGGAACACCTGCAAAGAAGAGGTGATTCAATACACCTCAAAACCCCTTGATCGGAGTTTTTGCTTATGGATATAGTTTATTGTCATACCTAAGACAAAAACTTAATCCAAGTGTAAAAAGTAAATTTAAAAAAGAGTAAATTGTAATTTAGGTTTCGACATGTCTGCCTCCGATTATAGAACCCAGTTGCATAGCAACCAGGCCCGTTATAGGCATGGCCTTCCTTAAGAAGACTCAACGTGAGTGATGAAGTTACGTGTTTAAAAAACAGGATACGACATGGTTTTCCGGATATTTTCCTCTTCAAATG